ACGAGAGTGCGTACTTTGCCCCTCGCGACGGTCCTGGCTACCTTTTTGCACCTTTCCCGACCCGACTTCTCGTCGCGACCTAACATCAACGTCGTCAGTCGCCAGGCACATCAGGTGGTTAACGACGCCATTCAAAAGGGAAATAAAAAGCGGAGCCTTGCACCTCCGACAAACGTGGGCCAAATATGCTAAAATAAACAGCGGAGCACGCGCTCCGGTGCCGCTGCCCAGCTTGTAGGCTATCATTTACTTATCACTCGATTTAAGGAACATTTATTTAAAAATGAATTAACAAGCTAGAAATGCCGGTGGAATCCTACGACAACCGGTTCCAAGGGTCTGTGCAGCCGAGTTGTTAACGGCACTAGTTAGTGCATCGCATTGGGGCGTCAACACAGGATGCTAATCCCCCTCTCACCATACCCCCCCCCTTCTCAGAAGAGAGAATAGACGAGAGAGTAATCGTTTGCAAAATAATACATAAAAATATTGGCAGCGAACGCTGTGCATCTGGGCGCTAATCTCGTTTATGCATATTAGTGCCTAAGTAAAAGGAGCATCTCTTATTTTTACGTGAGCCCCTGTGCCGGTGAGTTCGTACGCGATCGAAGGCTCAAGATTGAAAGGAGGTAGGTTTCTTCTCCTAGACACTGTCCAAATGTCTCCGGTCACGAATGAACCTAGTCTATACGTAAATCAGCGATCGGGCTGTTCACCACTCGAGTGACCTACTCAAGGAGGCGTTTTAGAGAAGAGCGAAAAAAAAATGGATTGAATTTTCAGTTCAGCCGTGTCCGCTGCCGCTCGCAAATTGACTTCCGCCGATTGGACATTTCGCGTTGTAGTATCCATTCGCGCGAGGCGATTGGCTGACGACCGATTTTACAAGGAGGCCTCGGAGCTCAACCGACCGGAAACATTGTTGTCAGATTCGTCGTTTCAGGGAAATAGGTCTATTCAGAAACTCGGCACTGACAATCTAAAAGCATTGTAATCGGGCGAGGTAAACGTTGAATTCGGAGTTTCACGCTATTTTCCGCCTATCAATGGTTTGATGAGCAACAAATCAAATAAAATTCGCCTAATAATGACTGATGAAAGTCGTGGTGAGCTTTTTGCTGCGCAAGTTTTGCGGATTAGGTTCGGTCTGCTGAACTGATAAATTGCTCAACTTGTCGGGTATGGATCATCACTAGGTAAAGTTGAGCGTTGACTTTCAAAAATAACTTTTACATTACCTATAGGGAAAATACCAGCGTGCATCTCTAAAATATACGGTCTTTGAGTCTCGTGCACTTGTCACAGAATCTTATTCTGTCGGTTGAATTCGACAGCGTGGTAAGAAACATTTTTGTCGTATACGACTGTGAAGCTTCATTGTGTCGTGCTGTGAGGGTTTGGTGCTGTTTGAGATACGTGGTGGATGCCGTTAACGAGAGTTCATAGAATAAGTATGGAAACTTGATCTCATGGAGACTTCTATGATAAAAAATATGGAAGTGGTTCCTAGGCGTGAGCGGGTAAGAGGGGAGGGGGCTCAAAATAAGTTTACGCATTTTGAATTAAATGCAAGAGAAGATTTGCTAGATATCTTATTAATTCTTGTTCTTGAATTTACTTTCAAAACCGAGCTGGTGACGGTTGATCTTCTGTATAGCACTCTAAACTAATTTTGCGTCGACTCCACTACTCATAACATACAATTTGGTCGTGTAAGGAATGTCAAATGTTCAAATAAAGATTGCATCGTGAATGCATGACTGAGAAAAAAGAGAGAAAATAATTGAAACCAATCACTACACTTTCAGAAATATTTGAATACCATTGTAACGTATTTTATGTAGCATTACACGAGATATCATGTGGAATTTTCAAAGGAGCTTTAATGTATGCGCTTTTGTGAGCATTACGGAGGTTAGGTGCTTGATACTTTTTATTTTCATGAGACCTCAGTAAAATGACTTCATTCCGTTGAGCTGAAGAGCGTCAAAAAGCTGTGCCAAAGTTAAATTTCTTCTATGTGTTGAACCTGAATTTAAGGCTTCTCTTTTGGAGTCTGAGACTGAGAAGTTGGGAGAGCGGAAAAGAAACCGGTTTCACGGATGCTGCATATCAAGTCGAATGATCTTGATTCCGACTCGACATAAAAACGTGTGAACATATGCAAGATTTCCAATACCCTCCTCCAGTAGCTATGGGAGATGTATTAGTGTGGGAGTAGTGAGTACAGCACGACTATGTCGAAGCCGCCTTGAGACCGTAGCAAAGTCTTCTTTTAATCTGAAGTTTTTATGAGTGGAGGCCTGGCACTTTAAAAAGAAAACTCGGAATGGAGCGTGATGTCAAAGACTGCGTGGAATGTCTAAAGTAGCTGAATATTTTCAGTATTTTTTTTTTATTTTGACGAGCACTGCATTTTCAAAAATTGATCACTTAAGGGTTATCCGTTTACACCAATATGCTCTAAATATTGAGATGACTTTTAATTTGTTATTTGTATTTACCCAAAGCGATTGCTGAAGTAAAAAAATGCGTACCTCCATTTAAACGTTAAAATTCTCCAGCTATGTTCTATTTTTCTTAGAGAAAACTAATAAACATAATTTTTTGAAAGTCTTGATAAACTTTTCGAATGGGTGATCAAATCCGAAAGAAATTTTGAAAATATCTGCAGTCAGTAATTGTCCTTCAAAAAAACAAAACATGAGTAGGGATATGTAATATCGCAATCGGAGACCAAATAAAAATTTTAAAAAAAAACCATTATACACAACTATTTGATGATCATCTGATCTTTTGGCAATCAAAAGTAGATCCACAGCATGACTTGACGGATTCCACTGTGCTCCTGGATCTCCCAGCGCCTATAGCTCAGGCGCTAAGAATTAATCATCATGACTGTTTGCCCTGGAGTTGTCTTGATACGTCTTGTTTGTTAATTAACTCTGCCAAAAACACCGAATTCTTCATTGTGAATCCTCTTTTTTTAAAGGGTCTATTTATATAAATGTTCTCTCATATCCTTGAACTTCTATACGGTCAGAGAGTCTTTGTATCAAAAACTGAGTATTTCGCAGTTTCACACCGCGAAAAAAAGAATTAGCGACGTAGATTTACAGATAAAATAAAATAACCGACTTCATAATGCCAATACATATTGAGAAATTCAAAATGTTTGGGTGAAGAACCTACGAGAAAATTTGAGCTGATATTAAGTGTTTTTCAGATTATTAATACATGTTCTCAAAAATTTTCAGGAGTTAAAATACGAAGCCATGACACCTCATTATGAGCAATTAGGCCAAAATATTTCGCAAAATTTCGAGATGATTCGGTTACTAAATGGCTCCAACTAAGGGGAGTGTCGCTGCCGCCCCCTGTCCGCCCGAAAAAAAGGGAGGAAAAAGGGAAGAAAGAATGTAGGAAAGAACGGAGTAAAGAAGGGACGCCTATATCTGGTGATTATTCATGACGAAATAGACTCAAATTGTATTTTAGATGCTTCAAAATGTCTAAAATTTTCTGGGGCGAAGCAATCGGACACACCCCCTCCTCCGCTACCCACGTTTGAAGTGTCTGAATCCGGCAGGGGGAGGTGGGAGATCACTACTTGAAGTTTATGGCAAGTGGTGAACCTGTGCTTCTCATTAATTTGTATAAATTCTCTTTCACTTTTGGTGTTACTTCTTGAAAGGAGTTTTGACAAACTGTTTAGCAGAAAATGATGATGAAATTTTTTGTGTTATAGAGTTTGGTGTTTGCGGCGGTGGAGGAGTAGTTGCGATGAGATGAACGACCACAATGCGGTGGCTATGGTTGGCGTTAGTGCTGCTGGTTACGACAGTCATAGCGCTCAATGGAAACCCTCCCCCTCTCGTTATCACCAGACACCACCTAGGTGACATCTTCTCAACCTCTGGTAAGTTTCTTTTACAACAAATTAGCTCCACCAGTATTTAAGGAGCTTTTCAACAATATCAAAATCGTGGAAAGTTGGTCTCCGGATGGCCATGGTAACTTTTACCTCTCGAACGTATTGGGAGGGTGTGGGTTCGATCGACATGAATTGATCGAAAAAGATAAACGTGAATCGATTGACGTGAATTGATCGACAAAACTGTATCGATTCACGGGTTTGTCGATCAATTCACGAGTTGGCGATCGATTCACGTCTGTAGATTGAATTGTTGTCGATCGGTTCACATATTTATGTTTCGATTGATTCATGTCGATCGAGTCGACACCGGTTTTTTTAATAATTCGTCGATCGGCTCACGTCCATTGATTCATGTCGATCGAATCCATACCCTCAAAATATTGTCTCTGTACACGAACGTACCAGATTCAATTGCGAAAATTTGCCTCAAGCGATTTGTGGAGGCTGGAGGGTCTTCAGTCTTCACCAACGATCTAGGAACTATAGATAGGGGGATCCTATGCTACGCCAATGGTGAATTTCGTGACACACCAGGAGCAACAATTAGGTTAGGACAAGGATAGTCGGTTTCCAGTGCTCCTTCTGAGACTGTTGCTAAACAATGACTTACATCAAATTCGCAACCATAACTGATTGAAAATCTTTGTCCAGATATGATATCTAGTTATTCTTCGAGTGAGTTTACGATTAAAACGCTAAATCATTTATTGTAAAAAATCCCGTAAGATCCCACGTAGGTATTTTAGGTTATGACGCAATTGGTCATTTCCACTTCCCGCCCGCCTATCAAACGACCGCTCTATGCTGCTGTGCTAAGGAAAAACGCCGTATGAACCACCAGGCGATGCCAAATTTCCCTTGATAAATCACGCATTTCCTGTTAACTTATGAATATTTTCCTTCCAACTTTTCAGATAATTTTGTTCGCAATTTCGCCTAATGTCCCTGAAAATTTCAAGGAAAAATATTCATAACTTTCCTCAAAAATAAACATTTAATTGAAGGAAATTTGACAACTCTCGAATGTTCATACGGCGTTCTTCCTTAGCACGGCAGTATGACGTATGTGTGTCACGTTTTTTCGTAGGCCACCACCAATCTACAGTTTCTAGATCGTTAGTCGTCACCTGTGTTCGGGTCTTATAGAATGAACCGCGGAGTTCCGGTGATGAGAGGCATCGATGAGTATTAAGAGGAATCGGTGAGTATTTCAACAGCTCGTTGATGATCGGAGTCCCGGCCAACGCGACGCGTTGGTGGTGGCGGCGGCAGAACAAATAAGTTGTGATCGATGAGCGAGGAGCGCTCACCGGCCGGCGCCGCGCCTTCTGCCGCTGCCTCTGCTACCTTATTAGTCATCGCACTCATCGCATGATCTCGCCCATTACATGTCGAGTACCAGCTTGAGTAGAGCTATTAGATACGCTTGTTAACCTTCGACCCGAAACCCAAGTGAACCGTGCACGCTCGGTGCATTGCATTGCATCCACGCAAGCGAACCGGTAAACGCCGTGTATTTAACCTTATCAGATTTCATCGCAGGCCCATCGATTAGTCAAGTTTACACTTCACGCGCCCGGACTCCTGTCCGCGCGTCAATTGATGAGCAGAAAAGCTTCTCGCTCGGTCGCATAGCGCACCGAAGTGGCATTGGGTTCATGATGAGTGTTCGCGATGATTATTGGACCAACTTTACCGGAAAAGCAACAAAACACATCGAATTTTAGGCGAGAAAATGATGTTTGAAGTTACATTCCTGTATTTTGCGGAGTTGAACGATTGTGATCAGAAAGTGTTGTCTCGACTTTGAATTTTTGACAGGAGAGAATTCACGAACAGTTAGATTCAAAACTACTCCTAGCTAATTCAATCCTCCAAAATGCGACTTGGCGCATTCCTGTTGATGAGTCGGGAAAATAAGAGGAAATGTTGGAGACTTAAACGCAACGATAGAAAAGTAAACCATTTCATAATGAGAATACTCCTTATTTTTATAATGATCGAATTTTTAAATAACAGTAATAGCTGTTATATTAAAACTTTAAAATATTTAAAAAAAAACTCACGCTTCGACTAAATGGTTATTTAAAGATTATTAATCATTTAAGGAAAGTGTGAGTTTTTTTTAAAAATTTTAAAGGTTTGATACTCCTTGTTGGTCCGATTTCCAAATGTCCTGAAGACTTTTACGATGCGTCTCTTTTAAAATGCCGTTTTCTATTTATTACTAGTCTATAATTATTGTTTTTTGTTTTTCAGATTCTCCATGCTCCTCCGACGTTTGCGTAGGGAGGAGCAGTGGCACAGCGGGGCTGGAGAAGAATCAGGGGTTCCCAAACAACCAATGCACCTGCCAGTGCATGCCAAACTTACCCATCTTTAGAGATGACAAACATATTTGCGTGGATGACTTGAACGGTAAGCGCAAATGACTTTTAAATGATTGTGATTGCTCCCCTTTCTCATGTTTTGGTGTAGATGAGGTGGAGTGGGTGCCAATCGAATTATTTTTTAAGATAATAATTATTAGAGTGCCAACTGGAGCTTACCATTCCATTTTCAATGTCTTTAGGGGCATGGGTACTATTAAAATCCACAATCTTACTTATCCCTGGTAAAAATTGGCAGTAGAATCAGTGTTCAAAATACTACCTGAAGCCGGCTGTATGATTTCCAATAGCTTCTGTAGCCGGCTGTACAATTTCTTATAGCCTTTTATAGCCGATGGCGACTAAGCAAGAGCCAGACGATAAAGTTTATGCTAAACGTTACTTAATACGGATACTAGGACTTAGTTAGTTTTTGGACTACCGCTCTCTTTTTGTGCCGTAGTATCTTGATTTATTTTGCGAGGAAACCTATGTACTTTTGAAGGATGCCTGTCATTCTCAGTATGTTGGAGCGCCTTCAATTTCTTATGATACTGTGCAATACCTCCGGTGAGAAAAAGTTGCTTCAAGCGCCGTGGCGCTGCGGCGCGGCGCGGCGGGCGGGCAGCCAGCGCGAAACGCGCATTGGCGCCTACAAACCTAACAGGGATACTTCACGCATTGCGCAATGCGTGAAGTACCCCTGTTAGGTTTATAGGCGCCAGTGCGTCGCCGCTCCGCTTTGTGTTAAGCTCTAATATTTAATCTCGATGAGTCAGCGTATTTCAACTCATGATTTTGAAATGTTTGCAAACTCTGTATGGATTATTCTTATTTTCATTGATGAAAAAAATATGTATTAAAGGAAAATATAATGTGTGTTTTGTAAATATTAAGGTAGTTCCGTATCAAACTTAATGATTTCCAAAGCACACGAATTTCTGCACAATTTCTTATACTCTTTTATAGCCAATGGCGATAAAAGTGTAAAGCCCAGCGATAGGAACTATAGCCCGACTGTCTACTTTTTTATAACTTCGTATAGCCCGGCTTTATGATTTTCAATAGCCTTCTTTAGTCGGCTATAAGAACTCCTAAGGTATTTTGAAACGCAGCTCCTATCGCCAATTTTTACCAGGGCACAAAGATAATTTTGAATTTCAATGCAGCATGTTTTGAAAGTATTTGGCAACCAATAGGAGACCGAACCGAACCAACGATACAGAAACTGTAGATTGGTGGTGGCCTACGAAAAACGTAACACTTATGGAACGGTCGTTCGATAGACGGGCAAGGAGTAGACTTGTCCAATTACTGTTTTTGTCATAACCTCAATAACATGGGATCTAACGAGAGTTACGGGAGGTTTTACAAGAAATGATCTAGCGTTGAAAGTTTTATAGTAAACTCTCTTGAAGAATGGCTTGGTTTCATATCTGGATACAGATTTCCAAACAGTCGGCTCTGAATTTGATGCGAGTCCTTATTTAATCCATAGGAAATCGAGGAAACCAACTATTCTCGCTCTAACCTAATCGTTGCTTCTGGTGCGTCACGAAATGCACCTTTGGCGTAGCATAGGATCGCCCTATCAGTGGCGAGGCGTGAACGATAAATTATCGATTTTTCCTCATTTGAGATTACGGTAGAGAATCGATCGTTAAGGTGTTTGTTGCGAACACCCTGTTTATCGATACTTTTCCATTGGCTGAAATGACAGATTAATCGGACGTATTTTTGCCAAACGGAACTATGTGCATTATGACGTGAGCTCTGAGACCCATAAGAATGTATGCATAGCAGGGCTCACGTCATAATGCACATAGTTCCGTTTGACAGAAATACGTCCAATCGATATATCGCAAAGCACGCTACGGCATGCGGCACTGTGCGCTATCTATAGTTTCTAGATCTCTGAACGGAACACGGATTAAAAACCAAAAGCGCGCCACCACGTACAAAAGTTGGCGTTGGTAATTAACCCGATTCGCTTTCAATGTTTTCTAAAAAGAAAAAAGTCGCACGCCGCCCGGCGCTATTAATTAATTTCGTGCGAAAATTCCGCGCTGACCAAGCTTCGCGGTTTGAGGTATTTGACTCGGCGCCAACGCATGGCGACGCAGAAAATCGAGCGCAGAGCTTTTCGATTCGGTGAGAAATCAGCCCCGATGAGTCCGGGCCGGGTAACCCATTTACCGTGTGAGTGAGTCGCGGTGTTAATTGCGCATGCGCAGTCGATAACTCGCCTTGGCAGCGAAAAATTGATCCTCGCACCGCGTACCTGCCCCGCGTCAACGTCCGCTGTGAATAAATCCATCGGAATCCGAGCTCGTTGAACCAATTTAAATATTTTCTTATACGATGCGACAGCTTCGCAGAAATTTGTTTCTGTCCCTGCGGCGACTCCATTCCCACCGTATATTCCCCCACGTCCTACCCAGTAGCGTGGCGTGCTTTGCGATATATCCATTGATCTTCCATTCAAACCTATGAAAATGATCGATAGACAGGGTGCCTTTATAATCGATTTTTTACTATAGTTTTAAATAAGAAAATATCGATAATCGATCATTCACGCCTCGCCTCTTGTCTTGACCCGTTTTTGATCGAAGCTCGTCGAACGGAGCGATTTAAATAATAAAGACTTTTTGATACCCGAGGCTGAGGGCCGTATCCAGGGACTGTATATTATAGAGACCCAAAACTATTCGGACCTTCATATAGTGTGAAAGTTACTTTCGGAAGTCAAAGCTCAGATTCGCTTATTAGTGACTATCTGCCGTGCTAAGCAGGAAGAACGCCATATGCGCCTTCAGGCGTAGCCAGACACCCTGTGACAAATCATTAATTTTCAAGAAAATTTGTGAATATTTCTCTTCATAACTTTTAGAGGATTTCGTTCGTAATTTGATCTAAAAAGTCTGAAAACAAGGAAATATATTCATAACTTCCTTCAAGAGTGAATATCTTCTAAAAGGAAATTTTGCAACATTCAAATGCTCATACAGCGCTTTTACTTAGCACGGCAGTAATGACCGATAGCCAAAAGATGGAGAAACTGCCTCAGCAATTCTGTAACCTAATTTGCACAAAATCGCCTGACAAAGTGCCCACCCTTACAATCATCAGTCATGGTTTGGCGAATTTTATTTGATTTTTTCACAACAGCTGCGCAGCTCGTCACTAGGCGGAAAATAGTGTGAACCTCCGAATGCAACTTTTGCTTCATCCGATTAATTAGTTTAAGCTATCAAAACAAATAAAACATAGCTATTAGAATAGTTATATAGATAATATTACGGTTTTTAAGTTAGTTTGGGTTATTGCAAGCTCAGATTGTGAGTGCGGGATCTCTAAAATTTATTGTCCCTGTTTCTTGCTTTTTGTATGATGACCCTTTGAGGCAAAAAGCTATAGGATTGTCCCATTTCTCGACGAGGGCAGTTTGGCAACTGCGCTTCAAGATGGGGTCAACGCTGCGCCGTGCCTGGAGCCGAAGATAGGACGTGCTCTTCGATGTCATTTTAATAGAAACCGATAATTAGGCGCATTAAGAAGGAAGAGTCATACTCGCCCCTCTAGCGGCAGCGGCAGCCAAGCGTCGCATGCCCGTCGAACCACTCGACGGCATTTGCATGGTCCAAAGAAGGGACACGTAAGTTCAAGGTGTGGCAGCTACCCAGGGGCATGGCCTTGAAAAATAAATAAATAGGGTTAAGGAATAAATAATTAAAAAGAGGTGACAGGCAATGGTCAATGCGGCCGTATCTAACTGTCCTTGCAGACCCATTCATCAGTTTCATGAAAATTGGCCGTCATTATCAGGATTCGAACTTGATACCTTCGGATTCGAGTCTAACACACTGATTGATAGGGGTTGTATTTGCACAGTTTTGCTGAAACAGCTCCATTTCTGGGAAGATTCCAGATGACGGATCACGGTGATTAATGGAAGTTTGAGAGGACTCTTTACATTGCATCGTTAAAGGGACTTTTCTTAAAGCGCATTTCTAGTTTAAGACATAACCGTGGAGATGGATCGTAGCTAAGGATAGCTATGATCTTCTACTTAAAAATATGAATAAAAAAGGGAAAAATCTATCGTACTTCTCCGCTGGAAAAACAAGTCGCTTGGATCTAGAGTCCAGACCTTAATAATATATGTATCGACAAGAAAAAATACTCTTGATTCAATCAGATTTTTCCTTGAATCGAAGAGCCGAGCCTCTTGATTTAAGAGAATTTCCTTTTGATTCAAGCAAAAAGTCCGATTGAGTCAAGAGTATTTTTTCTTGACAAGGTTTTAAGAGTCCGGACTCGAGATCCAAGCGACTTTTTTCCAGTGTCCCTTCAAAATCGGGAACGACGCGACGAGAAAGCTCATCTCCTGGACACGTCCATGGGTGACTTTTAGCCTTCTGGAAGAGGGACTCGGTGGAGAATGTCGCATCCCATCGTGTCTCGGCGCCTATCTCGAACGTCCTAAGTGCCATTTAACCCCCCCCCCTCCTTCCGCCTTCCGCCTCCCCTTCGGCCGCCTTTGCGGCCGAAGAGGCCCCTGGGCTCATGCTCAAGCGCGACACCTTTATCTCCATTGGCAGTCCTGACTAATGCCAACAGATAAATTATTGATTTATGGGTCCATCCGCGGAGTGGAAACACGGTCACCCTGCCGCGTATGAATATTAAAAGCTGGAAACGGGATCCCTGTTTCTTGGAGGGCTCCGCTCCGCCGACTCTGAAATTAGTAGCCTAGGTAAATAAATCATTTTCGGACGGATTTGACTAATAGACGGGGACGGACATCGTGGGGGCTATTATAGGATACATGATTGCCTTTGAGCACCGACCGGGCTTCGCCTTCGCCTTGACCCCATTTTGTCGCCGCCTTTGTTTCACCCGACCGGAGTGTAAAGAAAGCGTCTTGTATTTACTCACGTCCACGGAGAGAAATTTCAACGAAAAAGTTTGGTTGATACGGGAAGTAAAACACAAAATGGACCGCGTTTAGCAGAAAGGAACCAAGTCACATCAGCCATTGCCAAATTC